GTTTTTCGACAAATCCCCCAATGCAATGTGATCCCAGGTTGTCTCCTGAAATGGCAACTAAAGCTCCTTTTACAACTCTGCCATCATTTGTCAAAATACCTCCTTCCTCTAGAAGTTTGAGGTCACTGATCAATGGTTCAAAAACTTTGTTCATGCCAAAGTATTTAAAATCTTTCTTTCTCCCTACATAGGAGGACAAGTTGCATTTGATCCATTGTGGATCTATTGTGAGGCAAAATGTCAGTCAGGGTCATGTAAACAGCTAAAACCTTGTGTGTTTTTTTTCCCTGAACCAAGTGGATTCACAACCTCAAAATCATCTTGATATAGGATCACACCAACAGAGGAAGGCTCTGTTTTCAACAGCTGATTGCCCTTAAATCCCTCTCCATCTCTCACATCCTGGATTATATTTTCAGTAGCTGGTTGCAAATGTGTGGCGACATATTGTTCTCTTACAGACTCACTTTTGAACAGTGTAGCTAACGTCTCATGGATGGGAATATACTGGGAAAAGCACTCGTTACCATTTTCATCACTGCCCAAAAGAAAAGGCACAGGCTCAACATAGTTGAAACTGGTTTTAAAAAAACTCTTCCTTTTTTGGTCTGTACTCAAAATGCCCCTGTTACACATCTTAAGAAGATCTTCCCTATTCATTTCATCAATGATGTTGCTTATAGTGTCCTCTTGGATTCCAATTTCTTTCAGTTTCTTAGTTAAGATCATAAGGGAATGCGATAAGCCAATTTCATGGGCATTTTGAAAGTCCTCAATGATTGCCTGTATGGTACTGGCTGGTAGCAATAACTTTCCTTGTAATTTAAGATACAGAAGGGCAAGGTTTTGCAAATAGAGAGTTTCATCTACAGCAAATTGCCCCTCTGGCTCATTATCATCCACAACAGAAGTATCAGAACATGGCTGACTATGCAGACTATAGGCTCAGCAGGATCGGACACATCTAACAAGGTGTGATCTAGATTTCTATGTTTCCTTGAAAAATGTGAGGCTAAAGTGGATGCAACTGTAAAGCTGCAACCACAACCTCTGACTGGGCATTTGATTTCTAATCCCTCATGTATGTGTGACTTCAAATGCTTGATGAGGGAGCTTAAGGTGTCACATGTAACTGTACAAAACGGAGCAACACATTTTAAGGGAGTCTCAAATTGCTTGCAAGGTCGCACAGATGATCCAAGCCCTTTATGCTCTCTATACATATGAGTTTTCAAAATATTTGCTTTGCGATACATCCTAGAGCATTCAGGCACACCGCAATTTTACTTAAAGTTAGGAGCATTGCTATGCAGCTTTGAGTGCTGAATAAACTCAATGACAGTCTCAGACACATGCTCACACAAACTGAATTTACAGTTGAACATTGCGTTTCTTCAGTTGAGAAAAACTAAATACAGGGCTTTTTTAAACTAGCAATTTTGGATGTAGCTAGCAGATTGCCCTTATAACACCAACATACTGTATTTGGATCACCCACACCTAAATTACTAAACACTACTGAACGACACAAAAAGTAATGAACAATATATACAGATTAGTTAAAGATAAATATTTGTGAAAGATGTGAAATGTGAAGTGAAAATATAGAATCTATTAAGGACTACTCAGGTTCTTAACTTTAAAATGAACTGTGTAGTGTAGCTAGAAAACTAGGCTACTTCACCACCCTGTAGTGACAGTCACTACTGCTGTAAGGTAAGCTACTAGAAACTAAACTATACGGCTTGCATTTAAATTGTACATACAAACACCATTACTACCAGATGACGATTAAAAGACAATAATTACAAACGTATATTCTACAGATAGAAATCACTGCAATTACTTTGGACTGTCTAGTTATAATCAACATTAATGTTCTTGCAAAACACAGATGAGTGCACCTTGGTCAAAGTCTCTGACCTTGGTCTAACAGCGGGAAAACTGCCGCGCAAAACATTTATTTTGGCAGTGGAAAATTCCAGAGACAATAATTAAAAATATATTGACGCAAGCGCACTTCATTTTTCTGTTGACGAGACAGACAACGGTTGCTCCGTTTCACACAGACAGCAGGGAAGAATATTATAAAGTTACTAATTTGAGATGAATTTAATCCACCTTTGCCCAAATCCACAACACCATAATTTATCTAGTTGATAATAACTGTCATAATACCCACTATTAAGGCCCCATCTTACCTTATAACTTTATTTCTCGTCGGTCAACGTAGAAAAATGCTGTGGAAAAGAGAGAACGCTGTTAGAGTAACTAAGATAAGCTTTAAGCAAAGCTAAAGTTAAATGTTCGACGGTGTATCTAACCAGACGTCTCACAGTTACTAATTTAATACGGTATAATTAACACTACAACCAACTCGGCTGGTTCTTTCGCGGTCTTTGCACTTGGTGTGAAATAGTGACGTTTATATCTTTTTTTCTTTATTATTATTATTATTAGTAGTAGTATTACTATATCCCATCCAAATGGACTTTGCTTATAATAATAATAATAATTAATATAATTATTAATTATTATTATTATTATAAGCAAAGTCCATTTGGATGGGATATAGTAATACTACTACTACTAATAATAATAATAATATAATCTTTCTCTTTTTTGTAATTATTATTAATAAGCAAAGTCCATTTGGATGGGATATAATAATAATAATTATCATTATTACTAATTAGCCTATTACTAGTAATAATAATTATTATTATTAGTATGGCACTTTTAATAATAAAAAATATATACTAAAAGTCAAATGTTTTGGTGTAACTTCAGTTCGTAGGTATATCCATCAGATTTATTTAACAAAAACATGAACAAATACAAAATAAACAAAAACCAAAAAATGTATGTCATTCCAATTTTTTTTTATATATATACAGTATAGGCTATTTATTGTTGTTATTATTATTTTTTGCCATAACCCACCTCTCTCTATTTTTCCTCACATTGAAAAATCATGAGAACTCAAATATGGTCCTTGTGGATTTTTTATTTCAGCATGGTGAAAATAATATAATAATTGTATTTGCCCTGGTCTCCCATTTGCTCTTCCCCATTTAAGTTCATCATGCTAATCCTTGATATAATTAAATCATAAATAATATAGGCATATATATTTTATTAAAGTAAAACATTTTTAGTTTATAATTCATTTTTGTTACAGTTTTAATGGCAACAGGTAAAAAATAAATATATATATTATTAATATAAAAATTTATATTAAATCATGAATTTAAAACTCATTTTGAAGTTCTATGAATTGTGGCATTTTTATGATTTAAAGGTGCTCTATGTAACTTTTCTACTAAAATGAATCCTTTTTTTATTGCCTGTGTGTGAAGGGGTTGTAATCACACATTAAAATGATCCACTTGTCGAGTTGTGCTATTACCTCTGAAGGCCAGTATTCCTATTTCTATGTGAAGTCTCCGGGTCGGATTTACCGCGAAATCCAACGGATGTGACGTGCATGTGCGCTCCGGAGCCTCTCTCCTTATATACTGTCTATTGTAGACGGTCAGGGAGTTACGTCCGGTTAAAGGCGCACGTTTTTCGGCTTATATCTCAGTCAATCTTTGATCAATATTCCCAAGACTCTAATCGTTCGTAGTGCTGGACGGGGCCTTTCGAACGAGCCCACCCCCGAGGTCCAACTCGCCCGGCTCCCCGAGTTATAGCCGTTCGAAATCGGGGGTCCCAGCGAACGGCGATCCGGTAGGGGGCATCCCTGAGGCCCGCCACTCTAGCGTTCGGGTAAGGGTTCCCCTGGGACCTCCTCCCCCGAATTTGAGCTCTCTGGGTCTTTGCGTTCCAGAGATACGAGCGATTTTCTTCTGAGATCGTGACGTCACCGGCGTCCAAAATTTTGCAGCGCGCCCGATGGTTTTCTGCTAATATCTCCGCGAAAACACCACCAAAAACTATGGAACTTATATGGTTCTTTTCAGCTCGACTAGATGGTCCCAACGAGCTCGGTGCTCGCCGAATCCGTCTAGTATTCGCCGAGATATTTGCGTAATAGACGGTATTGTCTATGAGTTCGAGCACGAGCGCTCTTGTAAAATTTGGTTGCAATCTGAAACATCACCACTAGAGGCCGCTAAAAGTTACATAGAGCACCTTTAATGTAGCTAGCTACCTAATGCGCCATTTCTCAACCACAATCGGCCCAGCTACACACAGCCAAAACCTTGCCAGATCTGGCAACCGTTAATGGGCCAAAGCTGGCTCACTTCTGGTGTGCCGCTGCCAGTACACAGCCGAGTGAGCCGACACTCAGCCGCGATTGGCCCGATTCCGCTGGCTACCTAATATTCCATTAAAAATATACCTTTTAAAAATTGTATGTTAAATCCACTATTGTTTGATACATAATTGTTCTAGTCTATGCAGTATTTAATGCAATGACATCATATTTTACTTTATATTACAGAAGAATTAAGAGTAATCCTTTTAACTAAATTACAGTATTTAGATTACTTGGTAATTACACCCAACACTGTATAACAGTAATTAAAATGTAAACTTACGCATTGATTCGAGCAACTATTTTCTCCCAAACTAACTCTCTAGATCGCCGCTGCTGCCGTGTTGCTAAAACATTTTTTTTGCGTACTGCTGGTGAGAAATATACAGACCTCTTTTTGTCTGGCGCTGTTACCATGGTGACTCATAATATCTGCGCTCCATTGATAATGGCTTTTTATAGTTGTGGTGCACGCGCAGAGTCAGTATAGAGTTGATTGAACTTACTCATTTCAGCTGTTCTGTAACCGAAAACTCAGACTTTCCCATCTCAGGGTAAGTCAACTCAGAGCTCAAGTTTTAACTCGGAGTTGGTTGAACCTCCTTATTGAAACGGGCCCCTGTTCATGTGGCAGAATGTGTGTGTATAGAAGCCATCTACCCAGCAGAGGGCGATATTGTAGCACAATAGCCAAGCGCAAGGGCTTCGAGTTAGTGTAGTTCCAACAATCTCTAGACTAGAGAGCTAGAGGTGTCGCCTGAGCACACTTCCTGGATGCACAGTAACCGCTTTGTCGTCGGAATCTTGTACATTACAAGCTGTCAATTACAGGACATTCTTCAATTTTTGGTGAGTACCATTGTTTTTTCCGACATTAAAGTTTTAGGGGTTGTTTTTTTATGTCAATCTTTACTTGTTATCCGTTTACACGCCCAAAAGCAGACAAAGAAACCCCATGCCATGCATACGGATGTTTAGTTTTAATAGTATTTACGTTACATATTAAAATAGACTCTGCATTCCAATAAAATCGTGGATTTACTTGTGTACTAGAATATTTAATTTAATAGGCATTCTTGCTGTAATTATGTCTCAATTATATTTTTTAATACATTTGCAGGGCAAGCGGGACTTGACCTTCTCTGTGTCTTTAAACCTTCACACCTTGACCTCGTTGTTGGGCACTTCATGAACTTGCACGTTTGGAACACTCCCAGTCCCAACACGCTGGAAGACGCTCGCTAGGTTTTGAAACACAGCCATTTACTGTATTTGACTTTGCTAGTTAATATATTTGCAAACGCTGGATTTTGCATTTATAAATTGTTCAATAAAGTACACTAGCCCAAGTCTTATTTCTGTTTTTTTCTTCTTATCAGCTTCCCATTGGCTGGTCGTGCGAGACAACAAACAACAAAGAAAATACATCCGGCATGCTGGTTCGGTGCTCATTCTGTTGAGAGCCCTTTACAACGCGTTGTACGCCTCCAGTTACACTTATAACAGCTTCTCTGGTGAAGAGGAAACCTTTTTTTTATCTTTAAGAGTGATCGTTAAACGTTTGGAGATGAACGGAGACTGCGTGGACGCGCGGCGCGAGGCTACAACAGAGTAAGATGATATTGACGACTGTTGCTATGCAGCTTTCAGAAGTGATTGACAGTTCAAAAACAGTATTAAATTCCCTAACAATTGCTTTCTTTCTTTTTGTTACCATGGTGTTATAGAAGCAGTAGAACAGACCCATACAAACATCTGCATAATCTCATTTAATATGTCTTCCATTTATAGTAGCTACAGTTTCATCTAATTGGTTCATGCTGTTTGTCCAGTCCTGGTACAGATGTGGCATCTGGACTGCAGCCCATGCAGGTGGACGCTAAGGGTCAGTCTCATGTCTTCAGATACAGCCTGAACTACCCCAACATCGGGCACTGCGTCATCATCAACAACAAGAACTTTGATCGCAAGACAGGTAACACTTGTCAGTCGTCTTGTTTTTGTGAAAGTTGTCAATTTGAATGCTCATCAAACTCAGATGATTGTTGAAATGCATTTACTTAAGAACGGAACACTGAACAAATTTTGTACTAGGCTATATGACTATTTATTAATGTTATGGCTTATACATGCATTAAACCAAATTAATAAAATAATATACATGTATTATATGTAATAGAATATGTAAATGTAATCTTTAGACGAACCCAAAATGAATATCTGTCTTACATTTTTTTTTTTTTTTTTTTTACCCTGTAGTGTGTGTGTGTGTGTATTTATCATCGTTGTTAGCTGGAAACCTTGTATTTCCAAAAACGCTATTCTTCGGGAAAAGGGAAAAAAAAAAGTTTTTTTTAAATAATGAAACACCGCGCTGTCAAAGTTAATGCTTTTATATGTGGTCAGACACTTGCATGTGTCATTTTATTGTTGACATTTTACCCAAAATCAAGCTCAAATGGAGTTAGTCTTTTGACCAGTGGATTTCGGGCATACTTTGTCCGTCATTAGAGGCAAGAAGTGCATATATTATGCATATTAAACTTATAAAGTTTACTGCAGCTATGTGGGCGCTCAGTTTTTTTTCTGTCATGTGGCCAAAATCTTGTGTTTTTAAAGATGAAGTGTTACACACAGGCTATTTATGACAGTATTGGCTATGACTCGATGACAAATGGTAGACTAAGACACTCTTCTCTGCTCCTCAAATACATAAAACATTAGCCTTTATATATGTATAGTGTTTCTTAAGTAAAGAAAATGCTGTACTTTCAAAGTCAAAGAACCAATTCTTTATTTACCCTTGCATTGCAAACAAGCAGAGCCTGTTCAAACTGCGTGCAGCTATGATGCTGTACAACAAATTACACCAATCAGAGAGTCGAAAAAGCAACATGCTCCAAAATAGCTCTTTAGCTCCGCCTACTCCCATAAAGCACTGTGAATGTGCATCATTTATGCATATTTTGCAATAAACCTAAAATATATGGTTTTTATACATATAATCAACAGACAGACATAAAGGGTGACCAATAGTAACGATTTATGAAAAAAAAAGACGACAAATGGAGATACGAGGTTTCTGCCTGACAGTGTAATAATGATTAAGTATTGATGGCCATACTGTGAAAGTGTGAATCACTAATATCAATTAATAACGTAATGAATATATTGTGCTTCTCTAGTCTTAAGAAAAAATCTATTATATGTAATAGAGTGATGGTTACCTGTTCTTCACCTCCTACAGGCATGAACCAACGCAATGGCACTGATGTAGATGCAGGAAACGCAATGAATGCGTTTCGAAAGCTTGGATACTCTGTGAAAGTTTATAATGACCAGACAGTAATGCAGATTAAGCAGGTTTTAACAACAGGTATGGTGTATTCATATTACACTCAGTCTGCACAAAACCTTTAATGAATTCTTATATCCTGTCTCTCAGTTCTCTGCCTCAATATCAATCCCAAGGTTTCTTGTTCTTGCGATCAGGGCATTAAGTAATTATTTAAAAGTGTGTTAATGTTATAACTGAAAAATTACCAAATTAATTTGAATCAGCTGCCAATACCCAAATGTTATGTTAATTGATCATTATACTTGTTATACAATTTGAATTGTAACCAATTGTAACATGGCTGTTTGTTGTTCTCTCAGTCGCCCGTGACGACCACAGTCGCTGTGCATCATTAGTGTGTGTGATGCTCAGTCATGGAGACGACGGGGTGTTTTTTGGCACTGATGGTTCTCTGGAGCTAAAGTCCTTAACTAGCCTGTTCAGAGGAGATCGCTGCCCATCGCTAGTGGGGAAGCCTAAACTTTTCTTCATACAGGTACATCCTCAATCTCTGCTGTCATCTTATGTGTGTGTGTGTGTGTGTGTGTGTGTGTGTGAGTGTGTGTGTGTGTGTGTGTGTTTTCTGGGTTGATGTTTATAATGAGATGGCTCAGAGTGCTATTTTTCCACTCTTGAATTCTCTAGGCTTGTAGAGGTACAGAGCTGGATCCTGGTGTGCAGACTGATGCCAGTAGCAGCTCAGATGGTCCAGTGAGGATCCCTGTGGAGGCAGACTTCCTCTATGCGTACTCTACAGTACCAGGTGCAGACACACACAGCACACAAATGTTTCCTCTGAGTATCAGATGAAATATTCACAAACATGATGAATTTACACTACCAAATCAGCATATTAGAAGGACTAGAAATAGATGTGTGCGAACTGTAAAATGTATTTAGGTGCACAAAAAAGTTTTTTAAACAACAACGCTGTCTCTGCGCTGAACCAATGTTGTCTGTTGAAAAAAAAAAAAAATCACGTGATCCACACAAACGTGCCTTCTAGACGTTATAGGGATGGGAATTTTGTCCCATTTTGGAATGGGGCGTGTCCGTCATGAAAATATTTTAAGACGAAAATTAATGTTGACAAATAAAAATATGACATGAAAACATGTCTATGAAAACATGAATGTATGAATAGGAAAAAAAATAACTGCTGGATTATGATGTATCAATGTTATCGAAAAAGAAACCTTGAGGTAAAGCTGAAGATTAAATGATCTCCAGTAAACTGAAGCCCGTTCTATGACACATCCTATGAGATTAATAATCAGATATCCTAGATACATAACATAAACGTAACATTACAACTTGCATCTGCACAAAAGAACGCGAATGCGCATGTGAACTTGTTTTTTGGTCTATGGTTTGAAAGGGAAACTCTGGATGCGCTCTTGCCTGTGTATTGCGCTGATACATGGTCAACTAAAGCACATAGAATTTCAACATTCTATCACAATCCTGTTCTCATTATAATGCTGAATATGGCATGTATATTGGCGTTGCAAATCTTGCACTTAATTTAAAATTTTCATGATAGAAAGTGATTACAGTCATCACTGCGCATTTCCGAAGCCTAACAAGAAACAACGTTAAATAAAACGTTTACTGTTAAAAAATTAGAACAAAATAACACTGAGAACGTAATAACACACATATCATCAATGATTTTTGCCTATCTAAAAGGAAAATGACCGTCTCAAATAACCCAATCATAGTCAGTAGCAGTGTTGGGAAAGTTAATTTTCTACATGAACTAGTTCAAAGTTCAGTTCACAAATTTTAAAATGAACTAGTTCAGTTCATAGTTCATACTTCAAAAAATGAACTAGTTCATAGTTCTTTTTTTCATGTTGCTGCGAGCTTCTTTTTTAAAATTATTGCCACAGCCCATATACAACCACAGACAGCAATTATTTTATCGACGGGCAAAGTTTGCACAGAAATGTAAGATTTTTCCCATCCTCACCGACCTTGTCATAAAACTCGTTTAAATGATCATACGACGCCTCCTCGATGCTTTGTCGACTACATGCTGCTTTTTGTTTTGATGACGCATGCGGCGGTGCGTGCGACACTGGTGGCTGGTGTTGCCAGATTGGGTGTTTTTTTTCGCTACATATTAAGGCCTGTTTACGGTGTGTTTTAGCCAGGTTTTCGCCTGGAAGGCTCTATAGAAATCTGGCATCCTATTAAACGAAGTTAAACTGAGAGAGCGTGCGTTCACAGACACCAGAATGAACGCGTTCACCGTAACGTTCATCAGGCAGTAATTCAGTACGTTCAGTTCACGTTCGCCCAAAATATGAACGAGTTCATGAACTATCGTTCATTGAACGCGTTCAGGCAAAACACTGGTCAGTAGGCTAATGTCGGACATTCCGTTTGAGCTGAAACTGAAGAGTGAATGAATGGTCGGTAAACTGCCGTGTTTTGCTAGCTGGTTATTGAACTCAACCAAACGCTTCTTATTTGAGATTAATCAGATATAGACAACATAAAAGGAATCTTACAATTTACACCTGCACAAGAAGACGCCAATGCGCACATGAACTTGACCGTGCTAGTCTCTGAAAAACTAAATCACAAAGAATGTTCAACATTCTATTACAATCGTGTTCTCATTATAATGTCAGGCTATGTATAGGATAGATTGGCGCTGCACATCTTGCACTTAACTGCATTTCATGATCAAAGTGATTCCAAGCATCACTGCAGTTTCACTTCATTTCGCCGGTCTGGAAGGCGTGCTGTCTAACGAATCAGACCTCAGGAATCGCCCCAAATGACCAATCAGAAAAAGAGATTGGATTTTTTTTATTTGGGGGAGATCATCGTTTTCATGATCGATCGTCGCTGTCACGTACGAGTACTCGAGTACCTGTGGCCATCCCTACTAGACACCTGATAATGAATCTCATTGGTTCTCGCATGATAAGCGAACATGCTTGAGCTTCCGTTTACCATAACTGGTGTGAGTTGATGAATGTTTATGTGAATAAAAGCCTAAATTAAATCTGTTCATCATATAAAGTGATCGTGTCTCTTCAGAAAATTTGGACTAAACCGCTCAATTTATATGAATTAGTTTTACGATCTATTTATGAACTTTTTGAAGCGTCAAAATGGTAGTATCTAAATGAAGATAATTTACATTAATGCTGTCAATCGATTAAAAAAGTTACTAATTAATCTGCACATTAATCAATTAATTGTGATTTAATTGCAACTAACATGAAAGTTTTTAGTATATTTTTATTTTTTATATTGTAATAATTTCACATTCAATCTCCAAATTATTGTAGAAACCACATAAAGAGAGTAAATTTAAAACAAAATCGATAAAACAGGTAGAAGATAGGCCAATAGGCTACTGAAATTGAATAATTATCAAACACTTGTTTTCTCTGCATAAATTATAAATTAAATATAGATTTGTTTTATTAAAGCTACAAAGGTTATTCAGTCTTTCACATTTCTCCTTTTCTTTTGTTCTTTGATTAACATTAATGACAGACAGCAGCAGGTTTATTAGGCTGCTGTCACTTTAAGACCTGCCACACATGACACAGATCTGACAACTGTGCTTATGAGGATACTCGACAAAACGGGCATTTTGGCATAATTTTGTGTGTTTTTGTTCGTAATAAAGCGTTCAATTTGTTCATAATGAAGCGGCAGTCTGTGCATATGAGTCTCTTGTCGCATACAGGAGATTCACAGAGTTTGTCTTGTCACGCTTGAATGGTTTAAAAGCATTTGCATGAATAAGGGGTGTGATTATATAATGTAACGCTTGCTAAAGGATGACGGAAAAAAACGAATTCTTCATTAATTGCGTTAAATATTTTGAACATGTTAAACTGAAAACATTAATCACACGCCTTAACGCGTTAATTTTGAAAGCCCTAATTTACATGTATTGAATGTTTCCTAATGTATTTCTTTTCTCTGTCAGGTTACTACTCCTGGAGAAACACCATGAGCGGTTCATGGTTCATTCAGTCTCTCTGTGAAATGATAGCAAAGTATGGCAAAGAACTTGAGCTCATGCAGATCATGACCAGGGTCAACAATAAAGTAGCGTACGACTTTGAGTCGACCTCCAACATGCCTGACTTTGACGCTAGGAAACAAATCCCCTGCATTGTCTCAATGCTCACCAAAGAGATGTACTTCAATCCTTAAAGGTACAAGGGAACTTTAAGGCATATGATATAGATTTAGGGGTTGAGTTTAAAAGTGTAAGACCCTTTTTACACAGGGAAACTCTTTTTCAGATCCACTTATTTACCAGAAGCATTAGCTGAACATGCATAGTTTGGGATTTCTCTCCCAGGACTGTTATTGTTGATGTTTTTCCTAACAAGTCTAATTGGCATTTAAAGTTTTGTAGGTAAAATTAGGTGCTCAGGTCTTTTTCATCTTGTGACTATATACCATTTAATTGTCGCTTGCCTCTGGTTTTCTAATAAAAAAATATAATAATAATGAATTTAAAAAAAGGTGGCAGATTTACAGTAATCAGGGACTTTGACAAACTTTAATGTGTTATTGCACTAATTTGACTGAATGGGAATCATAGGTGGGCATTAAATCAGTTAAAAGCAATGGACAGTGAGATTCCTCTAAATTGAAGGGAAACCAGTGTGCCTGTTTTAATGTGAAAAGCAAACCACAATCAGAAGTATTCCTGGTGCTTCTCACTGAGCCATGTTGACAGATTTTGATAACTTCTGAAATGTAATGTGTAGTTTTCCACGGAGACACAATAAATGCATTATTTACAGACATACTTTGTTAAGTGAAGTTAAGCTTTGGAAGGTATCAGTGACATCCAGTCCACTACCCCAGAAAAATGTGTACAAGTCTGTGGGGCAAACGACTGTCCAAACCATCACTGTAAGTGCATAAATGCACTCTTTTTGTTGTAATGGTCAGCATCAGTGACCTGAGAAAAACACTGTCATGAAGAATTCTTTCAGTTGAGGTCATGCATGCATTGTGTACGTGATGAATTTCAAATTATGCATACATGAAAAGAAATGTTTCATGTTTATTGTACAATCATTAATATATGATGTTTCTGTATGTAATTAAACAGCTCTGTGGTGCACTGGATGATTGGTCAATATTTAATTGAGATTCTGAGAGTTTGTGTTACCGACGTTTCAAAATGATTCAGTATTGAGCAGGCATTTTTTAAGACATTTTGAAATTGAAAAATTAGAAAAAAAGACTGATGGTTGGAAATTATAGAGATGTCTGTCTAAAGACCAATTGCATCTATAATGGGTGTTTGTTGGCTCTTATTATAATCTCAAATATTTAGATTGGGAGCAGAAAAACATGTTTTCACAACCTGTGTCTATAGCGTGTAGGATACTGAAAGCCAGTGAAACCAGTTTCCTTAATTACAAAAAGGGTGTTTGCATTTAGAAAGTTTGTTCAGGTGTATCAATCGCAGGTAACAGCAAGTGACAACAGAATCGTAAACTAAAGAAAAGGAGTTTCTCATCCATTCATTTAATCATATGCCTCATTGTCTTTTCAGTTTCATTCATGAAAATAATTAGCCATTTGCCTTGGACTCTTAGTAGCAGGCCATAGAGTAGACCTTTATCTACACTTTATATTGTAATCATGGAATCTTTTTTCCCCATATTATTATTATTTTTAATATAAAATAGCACCAATGAAAGAAATATTGAGAAAATATTTTTTTTTAACCACAAACATTATATTTGTCTTTTTAAAAGCAGTGTTAATATTTCATGTTCATATATGTAAAAAATCTAACTCAAAATGAATTGCTCTTCTCACTCTCATGCAAGATCATTCCCACTGTCTGTAAACCAGAAATGTAGTTATGCTTTAGTAATTATATTACTACAAACACCTGCATATACAAACCCGATTCCAAAAAAGTTGGGACACTGTACAAATTGTGAGTAAAAAAGGAATGGAATAATTTACAAATCTCATAAACTTATATTTTATTCACACTAGAATATAGATAGCATATCAAATGTTGAAAGTGAGACATTTTGAAATGTCATGCCAAATATTGGCTCATTTTGGATTTCATGAGATCTACACATTCCAAAAAAGTTGGGACAGGTAGCAATAAGAGGCCGGAAAAGTTAAATGTACATATAAGGAACAGCTGGAGGACCAATTTGCAACTTATTAGGTCAATTGGCAACATGATTGGGTATAAAAATAGCCTATCAGAGTGGCAGTGTCTCTCAGAAGTCAAGCTAGGCAGAGGATCACCAATTCCCCCGATGCTGCGAAAAATAGAGCAATATCAGAAAGGAGTTTCTCAGAGAAAAATTGCAAAGAGTTTGAAGTTATCATCATCTACAGTGCATAATATCATCCAAAGATTCAGAGAATCTGCAACAATCTCTGTGTGCAAGGGTCAAGGCCAGAAAACCATACTGGATGCCCGTGATCATTGGGCCCTTAGACGGCACTGCATCACATACAGGAGTGCTACTGTAATGGAAATCACAACATGGGCTCAGGAATACTTCCAGAAAACATTGTCGGTGAACACAATCCACTGTGCCATTTGCCGTTGCCGGCTAAAACTCTATAGGTCAAAAAAGAAGCCATATCTAAACAGGATCCAGAGGCGCAGGCGTTTTCTCTGGGCCGAGGCTAATTTAAAATGGACTGTTGCAAAGTGGAAAACTGTTCTGTAGTCAGACGAATCAAAATTTGAAGTTAATTTTGGAAAACTGGGACGCCATGTCATCCGGACTAAAGAGGACAAGGACAACCCAAGTTGTTATCAGCGCTCAGTTCAGAAGCCTGCATCTCTGATGGTATGGGGTTGCATGAGTGCGTGTGGCATGGGCAGCTTACACATCTGGAAAGGCACCACCAATGCTGAAAGGTATATCCGAGTTCTAGAACAACATATGCTCCCATTCAGATGTCGTCTCTTTCAGGGAAGACCTTGCATTTTCCAACATGATAATGCCAGACCACATACTGCATCAATTACAATATCATGGCTGCGTAGAAGGATCCGGGTACTGAAATGGCCAGCCTGCAGTCCAGATCTTTCACCCATAGAAAACATTTGGCGCATCATAAAGAGGAAGATGCGATAAAGAAGACATAAGACAGTTGAGCAACTAGAAGCCTGTATTAGACAAGAATGGGACAACATTCCTATTCCTAAACTTGAGCAACTTGTCTCCTCAGTCCCCAGACGTTTGCAGACTGTTATAAAAAGAAGAGGGGATGCCACACAGTGGTAGACATGGCCTTATCCCAACTTTTTTGAGATGTGTTGATGCCATGAAATTTAAAATCAACTTATTGTTCCCTTAATATTATACATTTTCTCAGTTTAAACATTTGATATGTCATCTATGTTGTATTCTGAATAAAAGATTGAAATTTAAACTCCCACATCATTGCATTCTGTTTTTATTCACAATTTGTACAGTGTCCCAACTTTTTTTGGAATCGGGTTTGTAGATGCAATAATATAATATACTGATGTTTGATGACTAATTCCCAATGAGGAAATGTAATATTCTATTGTGCAACACTCACACTTTCTAAATACAGACACAGGTTTGTATCAAAATAATGAATAGGAACTAAGTTAAAGAAAACAAACCCAAACACTATTAATGCCATCAATTTATTTCTGTCTCACACCCACATGCTACAAATAAACTTTAGCACAATTTACATGAACCAGAATACATTAAAAGATGTACAAACATAAATAGATAACCTATATACAAGCTTTAATCTCCACGAGAGAGGCACGTTTGAGATGGAGCGAGATTTCAAAGGGCTGTTAGTGGAATCTGAGCATCAACCACAACCAGTTTGTGATGTCATTCTACTGTCAAATTCAGTGGAAATCATTTATTCAGATATGGAAATATGAGTCTGTGTCAAACACATGGTTTATCATAACAGAATCATTGTGACACAATAAGGATCCTACATTTAAATAAGCATTGTGAATGGAATATCCATTTACATAAGTTTATTGGGAATCACTATATTTTAAATAGGTTTTGTTGAAAATATCTGCACATGGTTTACAAATCAGAAACCTGTCAGCACGTTTTTGGCACACGAGTATCAGCCTTTCATTTTGTTTTATATGATCTTGCGTGTGTTCTGGATTATTAGACTCAAGGCATTCACTGGCCTAAGGCATTGGGGTGGTTCACTTCCAGTTTTCTTGAATTGTCATCACAGATGAACAGCAGAGCTCATGAAATGTCCGGTATGTGCTTCGCTGGTGGGGCCGTACTTCACCTCTTTTGAGAGACGACGCTGGCACCTCCAAGTGGTAGAAATGACTAAAGTACTTCAATTAGGCTTCAGTGAGTCCGAGAGTATCAACATCTGCAGTGGTCCTTATGCAATAAGATGACAGAACTGGAGCACCTCCTTTATAATCATCAACACATTGCAAGTATGCGTGTTTTGGGGTGTTCTAGTTCAGTCACTCTCAGTGTTCACATTTTGATTTTGGCATAGAGCTGGTCAGTCTGCTCCCTGAAGTGGCTTCTCAGCTCGGATCTCTTTGCTTTCAGAGTTGGTGTGAGGAGTCCATTCTGAACAGAGAACATCTCCACGTGCAGGGCAATGTCTCTCACCTAACACACAGATTAGATAAAAGAATACACAGTCATTATTGTACAGGGGTTGTACTCTCAACCAACTAGTATAAAATTGCTTACATTTCACAGTAATATAAATATAACATGAGTCACTTAAATAATATTATTATAATTAATAGTTATGAATAATTAAAATAATAATTCTATAAAGATAATGTTAACAATATATTATAGTATAGTATATTAGTATAGTACTAATATATAAAAAAAATAAATGTATTAATACTTCTACTACTAATAAAAAATATATGTATCTAAAATATATAATAATATAATATACACAATAATACGTATTATTGTGTATATTATATTATTATATTATTGTGTATATTATATTATATATAATAATATACACAATAGTACGTATTATTAATAATAATTAATAATTATTATGTTATTATTAGTAATAATAATAATAATCATTTACAATTAAATCTTATTGTCAAACAGAGAGTTTAACATTATTTTTAAGATTATTACTTAATTTTATTCTGCCGGAAAATAAAATGAAGTTGATTTAAAAATCGGGTCAACACTAGTTTTGCATAATGTAATAATGTTTGTTAATGTTATTTCTAAAAAAAAGTAGTAGTTTATGCAGTATAAAAGCAACAAAATCACTACAATTTAAATTAAATTAATTTTCAAGTATCAACAATTAAATTAAATAATAATTATCAGATAAATTCTCCATATCTAGAAATACATTTTGAAATAGGCTATGTAGAATATTTTCAAAACCATTTTTTTAAGTTAACGGACCACAGGGGTTCCACAGACCCTGGTTGAAAACCCTTGCGCAAGTACTTTTGTATTTTGATATCTGGACCAGTATTTATTCACAATAAAAAAAAATATTACGCTTAAAAACTGATAGATTGTGTAAAAATGTGATATGTGGCACTGTGGCAGAGTTGAAGTTATCGGGAATTGTGTTTGTTAGATTCACCTGTTCAAAAGACTTCAGTCCGGCTTCTTTCCCTAGCCGAATGATGTCCTCTAGGATGGCATTTTTCAGTTCCTGTTTAAACACAATATCAGGCGTCAGTTCTTCAGGGTTGGCACAGGCCATTCAAATATTACAGCCCATTCAAAATTCAGCTAATTCATTACGATGACATAAAATAGTGTGATCAAACGTACAGGTAATACAAACCCTAATCATCCATGTACATGATTCGTGAATTCCATACATCTCTCAGGGGTGATAGTAGAAAAAAATCCTGAGCCTGAACTTTTTTCCCTGGGACAGATGCGTAAGGGCGAGTTTATCCTCCGCTAATTTCTGACACAAAGTGACGAGTGGATGAGCGATTGTTCTTCTAGTCTTATATTGTTGTCATATATTTTTGTCATTATTTTTTGAGAATGCAAGACACACACAAACACATGCCTATCTTCATAATTCTAGTTTTGACTTCTAAAGTTTTTTGAATTCGACCCAAATCCTAAATTTCACTTGCACTGCAATATATTTTTTTCATGATTAATATTGCATTGCAAAATAATGTGTGCTGGTCAACTAGTCTAAAATTAAGAAACCCCTAGAAAACAGTAAAAAAAAAAACATTTGTACATTTGTTCTACTTAACTTGTTATTCCAATATCCAAATATGATACTTGATAAAAAGAAAAGAAAAAAGGGCTTTTATTTGTGACGTGCTGTCTTTGCATTTGAACATTGCACATTTTAAACAGGACACGCATTAGCTGAATAAACGTTAGCCAATACAAACATACTTATAGAAAACAGTTGACAATGAATAGACAGGAGTCCTGTCACAGGACCAATAATAGCAAAACGAATCACTTATTCTAAAAAGAATATCAAGTAGAAGTTAGACGAATCTGACATAGGGCTGTGTTAAATAGTAAAACGTCCGTCATTTAACGAATTTTAAAAACACGGATGAATAATAAAAAATGCTTTCTGACATTTTGACAGGAAAAAAAACACAACCAAGAACAAAATTTAAACAGTCCGTCAATTTTCATTTTACAATTATCTTATCTTTCTGTGTGCGCGGTCTGTGTTTGTGAGAAAGAGAGAGCTTGCGCAGCTCTGATACAACGGTACTTCTTATCTATAAGTAACGCGCTAGTTTTCATACAAAATTATTATGTAACATAATTAGGTACTTTAGTTATTATAACACAATAACGTAACACATGCAGGCTACGTTTCTCAACACTGAGAATGAATAAATAAACGCCTGTTTGCAGACTCGCGCTTATCAGTAAATTAATCCACAAATCACAGCACTTTCATAATCAGTAAGTTTTATTTTATTTAGATTTATTGTTCATCAATACTTAAGCATTTTATAATTTGCATGGCTGTATGATTTCTTCCTCTTATCTGAGTGACCATGAATGACGGAGTATTTTAAAATAATCCATGCGATCACTCCCGTGTGATAATCGAATCCAGATTAAGTTAACTCAATACAATACTTCAACTTTCCACATCCACCCAGCCCGTTTACCTTCAGGAGTCAGAAGTATCGTGACTACTGTACTGTCCTCGCTTAAATCAATCATCCCCGCTTGCTATTTGGGGAATGAACCCAGCGCTATGATTGGTCGAACTCCGCTTCTTTTGCTGTTGCTTGATTTGAGGACTGCGCGTGCACAGAGGCGTCACCAGGTTTTTGCGTAGTTTAGTGACAAATCGTACCAGCGTACTTTGAGGTCAAAATGCGTACAGGTTGGCAGGTCTGCGACTGGCAGAAGTAGGCTAACTGGTGTGGTTTAGTGAAAGCGCCTCTGCGAACGCGAACCAGATTTTTTTTTTTTTTTTGCAGACACGTCTGTACGCCGGAGCGCTATCAGGCCTGATCTCTGGATGGTGAAAACAACATCTCCCATCGTCCCACTCTCCTTCATAGTGTCATCAAGCTTCGTCTTCGTTATTGTTTTGAAAATGCGACCTCTGGCGGCGAAACTTACATATTGTGCCTTTAAATGATTTTTTCTATGTAAGTGGTTTACCTTGCATTTGCACATTTCAGTGTAGGAGCCCTCAATGCCTCTTTTCTTTGCCCATCCTGGCAGAAAGTCTGGATCAGGAACCACAATACCCACTAAACATGCCTGCAAAGAGAACCAGAATGGGTTTACTCTCAGTGATAGCATATACTCTGATTCACTGCTGTGTGTGTTTCTCACCTGTAGACTGTCTCCATGTACAAAGACCTGGGCCACAGGGTCACTACGCATGTAGATGTTCTCAATCTTCTCTGGAGCGATGTATTCACCTTGAGCCAGCTTAAATATGTGTTTTTTCCTGTCTATAATCTTCAGAGTTCCATTCTAAAACAATACATACTCAGCTTCACTAATTAAGTAAGGAATAAATAATGATGGATCATAAAATTAATGCATGTCACAAAGTGGAGGCTTCTGTTGGCTTAAAAGGCAAGTATTAACTTCAAATTATTAAAAACTTTGCAACAATATGGGAAGATTGTGCATAAGTGATATGCTTTAATTCTCTACAATTATTATTAATGCAACCTGGTGACGTTGCAAGTGTGAGTTTCAGCGAACACACATGCAGAACTGTGTAAATATCTGGTTCACAATAACTCTCAAGAAGTAGTTAATGCAATAAGGCAGTGTTCAGAGCAATCTTTCCCATCAGTAATTTGCATTCATAACTCATTAATATACATTACTGTTAAAAAGTTAGGGGTGAGTGAGATTTTTCTTCTTTTTTTAACAATTTTTTTGAAGAGTTTCCACAAAAATTAAATATTAAGCAGCACAACTGTTTTCAACATCATAATAAGAAATGTTTCTTGAGCATCAAATCAGCATATTTGAATGATTTCTCAAGGATCACGTTACACTGAAGTAATCATCATCACAGGAATAAATTGCATTTTGAAATAAATATTTAAATTCCTCAAAAATTTAAATTCCTGTAAATAGAAACAGTTATTTTAAATTGTAATAATATTTTCACAACATTACTGTTTTTACTGTATTTTTAACAAATAAAATGTAACCCGGGTGATCTTAAGAGACTAAACTTTTGAATGTAGTGTAAATGCAGATGACATAATTTTTATTAACAAAGTGGTCTTAGGGTAAAATAAATACTAAATATTGGGTAACAATTTATTTCAATGGTGCGCTTTAGACATTGTACTAACTTTAAGTCATTTTGCAACTACAAGTCAAGTAAATAAAGATTTAGCAGACAGTCTACTAATACTCTAATGAGTAGTAGTTGCAAAGTTACTTTTAGTTAGTAGAATGTCTAAAGTGGACTATTGGAATAATGTGTCAGTAATATAATATAATGTAATATAATATATGGTGGAATAATGGTGAGTCAGTAACTGGGTTGATGTCAGCTTCATTTAAAATTAATTAGATTCACTGAAACAAGGGTAAAATTCACAGAAATCAGGATGTTGATTAAATTAGAACTGAACTGGGAGACTAAAAAAAGATCTGTCGACTGAGAGTAAATAAGGAGCAGAAGTGCTGAGAGAGAATGTAGAATTTACCGGTAGCCATTTGCCGATGTCTCCAGTGTGCAGCCAGCCGTCTTTATCTACGGCTTCTAAAGTTCGCTCTGGGTCCTTCAGGTAACCTTGAAACACATTAGGTCCTTTCACACACACCTGTGTAGGACACACACAGCCAGTAAATTGGGAGGTGCAATGTGCCACTCAAATTTATAAATAAAAAAAGTAGGTTTAAATGATCATTTTCGCTTTGCTTTTGTCATGACTAAAATAACAAATATTGGGAGTTAGCCATTCCATCTGTTAATATTTCATTCATAAATGAGGGAGGAGTCTAAGGGGCTGTTTACACAACACCGTTTTCAACTAAAAACATACAACTTATTTTGCGTTTTGGCCGTTCGTTTACACGACAACGGTGTTTTGGGTGCCTGAAAACGCAAACTTTTAAAAATGGGTTTCAAAGTGCAAGTTTTTGAAAACGGTATCCGTGTAAACACCAAAACACGAATCTCTGAAGACGATGACGTCATGCACATGCGTATTACGTGTTCAGTCTAGTGTGTTTCATCTCCATCTAATGGCCTGGCAGCAGAATACAGCATTTTAGTCGTTTTCGACGATACGTGTGAATGGGGATTGTTTTGACAATGGTGTCGTCTGTACACGGAAAACTCAAAGGAAAAACTTCTCCGTTTTAAGCTTATCGTTGTCGTGTAAACGTACCCTAAATGATTTAATTTATTAATAATTTCATTATTAACATTATGCTACAAAAGCTGTCAACAAAGCTTAATTGAAACCACTTTATATTAAGTGTATTTAACTATATAATAACATTTAAATTAATATTTTATACAATGCACTTATTGTTTACATGTGTACATGCATGTATATGCATTTTACATTAAAGACACCTAATATAAAGTGGGACCACTTAACTTGTATTAAACCCAAGAACATTCCTTTAAAATTCAACATTTTAACTGGTGACCTACCTCTCCCTCTCCATTGGCTGCAAAATAATTCATTTCAGCCAAATCCATTAACTTAACAAAATTACAGGGCAGCGGCGCTCCCACATGACCTGAGTGCAAGAGACAAAGAGAGTTTGTGTTACTTACAGCACAGGCTGTTTATTCATTAATGTTATATGTGTTAGTGTGAGATTTTCCAGTGTTACCTGCTGTCCAGTCTCCAGGAAGTGACATTGTGCAGCCTGCGGTACACTCTGTCTGCCCATAACCCTCATAAAACTACAACATAATCAACACACAAAAACAGTGACTTTAAATGAGATGTGGGAACTGATAGCATGAAGCATGAAAACAGAAGTCTTTGTGTGTGTGACTGTGTGTGTGTGTGTGTGTGTGTGTGTGCACCTGGCAGCCCAGCGCTGCTCGCAGGAAGGTGAGGACGGTGGGAGAGACGGGAGCAGCTCCTGTGATCATTAGCCTCACGCGCCCACCCAGACTGGCCTGTAGGCGGAGTCACAGGAGTCAGTTTGGTTGTGTTTACCCACTAGCAGAAAATAGTTCTGTTTTTGGAGGGCTAAATACATAGTGTTGTGTTCATACTTAGTTTAGTTACAAAACAGATTTTAGAGTCATCATAATCACTAATCAAATCAAATTATAATCACTTTTTATAATCTAAGTGAGAGTTTTGGCCAAGTTCAGTTGATTTGTGCTGTATTAAAGCAACACTAAGTAAGATTTTTTACCTTAAAATAATGTTTTCAAAATCGTTTCAGTGGTTCATCAAGTCGTGACAGGGTGAAATGCACTTATGCCACCGCTTTGCGGTCCTTTATCTGATATATCCACGCTATGTAAGATTGCCAGATCGGGTCGCGTTTCTGTAGTCCGAAATGAGACATAAGAAAAATTTGACTTGCTTTACGGCAAGCGTTACAATTGCCGATAGGTGGAGCGTACTCGACAGTAGACTACAACTACATGTAAGATACGGGTAGCTTTTGAATTGTCATCATGATTCCAAAGCTGGTGCTGGATAAACAGAGAGCATGTGCGTGCGTGCGCGTGCGACAGTAGGCTGCGGTAGGCTAAATTATTTACGACAGCGGTAATGGACAATTCCGCTTCCAACCTGTAGGGCGACCGCAGAGGAAAAGTTACTTGGTGTTGCTTTAAGAGTACATGACTGACATAATATATTTATAGTAGAATTCATTGTTGATGCGACATAAGCATGTGAAGAATTATATTATATAAATCCATTTATAACAAGGCTGAATGCTGGTGGACTGTGTTGTTAAAAACCAAACTAAAACTTGTATTTCAATGTCGGAGTGACTCTGTTTCGCACTCCAGGATCACTCGGAGCAAGGTTTCTTTCACCAGCACCAGAGTGGAGCAGAAGCAGAGTTTCTATGAAAGCCTGAAAAACGATCGATCAATTGATCAATCGATCAACCAATCAATCGACAATAAGCCAATTGCGACATCAACTATCATAACTGAGACTTTAAATCTCCCAATTGTGAATTGGTTTCTCACAATTTCAACTTTACACACTACTGTTCAAAGGTTTGTGTTTGGTTAAAAAAAAAAAAAAAAAAAAAAAAAAAAAAAAAAAAATTATATATATATATATATATATATATATATATATATATATATATATATATATATATATATATATATATATATATATATATATATATATATATATATATATATATATATATATATATATATATACACACACTCACCTAAAGGATTATTAGGAACACCCATTCAATTTCTCAATGCAATTATCTAATCAACCAATCACATGGCAGTTGCTTCAATGCATTTAGGGGTGTGGTCCTGGTCAAGACAATCTCCTGAACTCCAAACTGAATGTCAGAATGGGAAAGAAAGGTGATTTAAGCAATTTTGAGCGTGGCATGGTTGTTGGTGCCAGACGGGCCGGTCTGAGTATTTCACAATCTGCTCAGTTACTGGGATTTTCACGCACAACCATTTCTAGGGTTTACAAATAATGGTGTGAAAAGGGAAAAACATCCAGTATGCGGCAGTCCTGTGGGCGAAAATGCCTTGTTGATGCTAGAGGTCAGAGGAGAATGGGCCGACTGATTCAAGCTGATAGAAGAGCAACTTTGACTGAAATAACCACTCGTTACAACCGAGGTATGCAGCAAAGCATTTGTGAAGCCACAACACGCACAACCTTGAGGTGGATGGGCTACAACAGCAGAAGACCCCACCGGGTACCACTCATCTCCACTACAAATAGGAAAAAGAGGCTACAATTTGCAAGAGCTCACCAAAATTGGACAGTTGAAGACTGGAAAAATGTTGCCTGGTCTGATGAGTTTCGATTTCTGTTGAGACATTCAGATGGTAGAGTCAGAATTTGGCGTAAACAGAATGAGAACATGGATCCATCATGCCTTGTCACTGTGCAGGCTGGTGGTGGTGGTGTAATGGTGTGGGGGATGTTTTCTTGGCACACTTTAGGCCCCTTAGTGCCAATTGGGCGTCGTTTAAATGCCACGGCCTACCTGAGCATTGTTTCTGACCATGTCCATCCCTTTATGGCCACCATGTACCCATCCTCTGATGGCTACTTCCAGCAGGATAATGCACCATGTCACAAAGCTCGAATCATTTCAAATTGGTTTCTTGAACATGACAATGAGTTCACTGTACTAAAATGGCCCCCACAGTCACCAGATCTCAACCCAATAGAGCATCTTTGGGATGTGGTGGAACGGGAGCTTCGAGCCCTGGATGTGCATCCCACAAATCTCCATCAACTGCAAGATGCTATCCTATCAACATGGGCCAACATTTCTAAAGAATGCTTTCAACACCTTGTTGAATCAATGCCACGTAGAATTAAGGCAGTTCTGAAGGCAAAAGGGGGTCAAACACAGTATTAGTATGGTGTTCCTAATAATCCTTTAGGTGAGTGTATATATATATATAAATTGTTTATTATTTCATTCAGCAAATATGCAATAAATTGATCAAAAGTAAGAGTAAAGGCTTTTACATTGTTACAAAAAAATATATTTCAAATAAATGAATAAAATAAATTTATCACAGTTTTCATAAAAATATTACGTTTTATAATATTTATATTTATAAATATTTTATGTTTTTAATATTAACTTTTTAAGTTTTTAGTTTTTAGCATCCACACCAACCGACGATAACATTCTGTTCATTAAAAGTGCGTTCTGCAGTTGTGTTGTCTGTTGCTTTAAGTGCATGAGTGCTTTAAAGCTGGGTGGATTCTGATTGGCTGTCAATGCTTTTATCGTTTTTATCAGCTGGAAAAAAAATGTTCTGAAAATTATTCCAACAACATAATTTCTCTTTGTCGTTTTTGTTAAAGCATTTTGTCTGGACTACCCTATTCTCATATAATTAGAAATTTTAATTATCATTATAGTTATCGTCCTTGGAGTGAATGGCCTTTAGATGTGACATGATTTCTCTTGCTTTTTTTTTTGCTTTATAAATGTTGGACAGTTGGATGCTGAGTGTTTTTGAATTTGTGGGTTGCCAGGCAACAGAGTCTTTATAGGTTCTCTATGGTTTCATCTGATTGTTCTGTCCCTGGGCACTAACACTCTTTCTCTCTTTCTCCTTTTCATCTGGTCACCTGCACTTTGCTAAAGATCAGTTTATCCCACATGCTGTCCGTCCTCACAACTCCACTTCTTAGCTCCGCCTCTTTTCTGCTGGTGGCAAAATCCAGCAGCCATCTCTTGAGAGGAGTGTTCGCCTGTCCGAAGATCTTAACGCAAACAAAGATGAATGTATAATGAGCAAAGATTTGTAGGTATATTTAAACAAAGACTTCAACGCTAACAGTTTATGTGTGTATAACTAAACAGAAGTACCTTATCAAACATGCGGTTGAGTAGTCTTGGCACTACAGGAAATACAGTGGGCTTAAGAGTCTTCAAATCATCCATCAGCAGACGGATATCACCCTGAAAATATCCAATCCTGCCTCCGTGGACCAGAAGCACACCCTATACACACACAACAAACACAATTATTCAACAAGAATATAATGTAGATTCATTTTTATATACAGTATACATATATAATATATGTATATATATATATACACAGTAGTGGCCAAAAGTGAGGTCCAGAGGAGATATTTGTTTTTAATGACACTACAAGTTTGATTAAACCATCAAAATATTAAGAAAATATTTTTTTATATTTTAAGTATGAGGGAATAGCAAAACACTAAACTTAAGGTATTTATCTGACAAATTATTTTGGCAAAAAGGAACACTACAGCTATGGGTTTTATTTTACTATGCAAAAAAATGCATACAGTCGTGATCAGAATTAATGGTACCCTTGGTACAGTAAATATGATCAAAACTGGCTGTAAAAAATAAATCTGCATCGTTTATCCTTTTGATCTTTCATTCAAAAAATTGCAAAAATCTAATCTTTCATTGAAGTAAAAGAATTGAAAGTGGGGGGGAAAATCACATTATGAAATAAATGTTTTTCTCCAAAACACGTTGGCCACAATTATTGGTACCCCTAGAGTTTAAATATGAGGAAACACAAAGGCCAAATTCCCTTAATCATCCATCACAATGAGTAAAACCAAAGAATATAGTTCTGATGTGCATCAAAAGATTGTTGAGCAACACAAAATAGAAAGTGGCTGTAAGAAAATAGCTAAAGAGTTGAAAATCCCCATTTTGATCATCAGGACAATAATTAAGAAGTTCCAATCAACTAAAGATGTTACGAATCTGCAGGAAGAGGACGTGGTGTCTATATTGTCTTAATGCCCGGTGAGGATTAAAATGTTTGAGTGGCCAAATACTCTTCAAGGATCATAGATGGAGAATTGCAGAGATTAGTTGAGTCTTGGGGGTCAGAAAGCCTATAAAAAAAATTAAAAAAATTCAGACAACCCCTACATCACCACATGTTGTTTGGGAGGGTTTCAAGAAAAATCTTCCTCGCTCATCCAAGAACAAACTCCAGCAAATTCAGTTGCCGGACACGACTGGAACTTCAAACGGCACAGGCTTCTGTGGTCAGATGAAACTAAAAAAGAGCTTTTTGGCAGCAAACACGCTAGATGGGTTTGGTGCACACAAGGATAAAAAGTACCCCATGTGTACAATTTAATATACCGTTGGATCTTTAATGTTGTGGGAAAAATTTTCTGCTGGAGGTCCTGGACTTCTTGTTTAGATACATGGCATCGTGGATTCTATCAAATATCAACAAATAAAAAATCAAAACCTGACGCCTTCTGCTAGAAATCTTATAATGGGCTGTGGTTGGATCTTCCATCAGGACAACGATCCAAAACAAACATTAAAATCAACACAAAAATTTGTTACAGGTCACAAAATGAAGCTTCTGCCATGACCGTCCCAGTTCCCTGACCTGATGAGTGGAGTGAACTGAAGAGAAGAAGCACCAACATGCATCTGGGAATCTGCAGGATCTAGAGAGATTGTGTAGAGGAATGGTCTCTGATCTCTGGTCAGTTGTTCTCCAAACTCATCAGGCATTATAGGAGAAAACTCAGAGCTGTTATCTTGTCAAAAGGAGATTGCAAAAAGTATTTAATAAAAGGGTGCCAATAATTGTGGCCAACGTGTTTTGGAGAAAAACATTTTTCATAATGTGATCCCCCCCACCCCACCCCACTCCACTTTCAATTCTTTTACTTCAATGAAAGGTTAGATTTTTGGCAATTTTTTTAATGAAAGATCAAAAGGATAAACGATGCAGATTTTTTTTTTTACAACCAGTTTTGATCATATTTACCAGGGGTACCACTAATTCTGAGCATGACTGTATAAAATCAAAAAGCTCACAGGAAAAAAGCATACATTGACTACAACATAATCAGTTATTAATGTTTTGTTGGTTCTCTCTTGCTTTTGCATGTGTTCAATTTATTTATTTTTTTATGACAGCCTAGCCAGAAATTATGGTTACACTATTTGGCATGTTTCATTGCATTCTCACTAATAAAATAATTTACTCCAAGCACAACACAACACATTTTTAATAAAACTGTATTTGGATAAAGGGTGAAGATGTAAATTTTCCTGGGCCGGAAATTACTTTTGGCAACCACAATATGTAAAATATGTGCCAATGGTAGAGTAAATAAATCATAGTATCATATATTTAACCAAAACATCCCTAACTTATTAATTTAATGTATTAAAACATTTGTTTAATGACTGTGTGCATACATACCTCAACCACTCTCTCAAACATGTGTGCTAGTGGTAGGTAAGAAATGTGAATGTCGGTCTGGTTAAGCATGCAATGAACCTGTAAAACACACACACACACACACAGTGTGAAATCCAGCATACCTCAACTACTCTTTCAAACATATGCGCTAGTGGTAAAAAGGAGACGATTACATCTTGAGGACCAAGTTTCAGCAACCCCTAACCACACACACATACACATACAAACACATCAACATACAGATCATGAGGGAGGTAGAAACAGGAAACAGACAATTAAATGAGGAAATGAGGCCCGAGAAAAGGTGAACATAACAGAGACAGAAAGAAAACATTTCACTTAACAGTTAACTGAAAAACAAAATAAAGGAAACTGGCTCCTAAAAATCTCATAGATCTGATCTGACATTTAAATCTCATTTGTTGCCATTTTTGACCTTTTTCTCAAAGAAAGACTTCAGTACAATCAATTTTAAAGGATAAAGAAGCGAAAAAAATCTATCTTACCTGTGTAACTTTAATGAAAGCAGAACAATTGGAAACAACATTTCCATGTGTAAGCATTGCTCCCTTTGGATTTCCTGTCGGCAAAGAAATCAGTTACATTTATTCTCCAGGTTGGAGCCCTAAAAAATGCCAAAATATGACTTTGAAGCAACAACGTGTAAACGAAAAAGGAAAGAAGTTTGCTTTGTTCATCAATGAATACTCAATGATTAAAGCCACATTTGTTCATGTTATTTTTTCATTGGAAAGCATTGATGTGTTAACTACAATATAATTCATTTTGTTTGAGATTAATACAAATTAAATACTTTAATACATAAATATCTAGTTCAGACATGAAATTCTAGAGGGCCTGGGCTGATAGGTCCATTATACAGTGCCTTGTGAAAGTATTCGGCCCCCTTGAACTTTTCGACCTTTTGCCACATTTCAGGCTTCAAACATAAAGATATAAAACTGTCATTTTTTGTAAAGAATCAACAACAGGTGGGACACAATCATGAAGTGGAACGAAATTTATGGGATATTTCAAACTTTTTTAACAAATAAAAAACTGACAAATTGGGCGAGCAAAATTATTCAGCCCCTTTACTTTCAGTGCAGCAAACTCTCTCCAGAAGTTCAGTGAGGATCTCTGAATGATCCAATGTTGACCTAAATGACTAATGATGATAAATAGAATCCACCTGTGTGTAACCAAGTCTCCGTATAAATGCACCTGCTCTGTGATAGTCTCAGGCCTTGTCCACACGGACACGGGTATTTTTATAACCGGAGTTTTTCCTACAGCGTTTTTAAAAAAAATCCCGTCCACACATGCTCGGTCTCCGTCTACATGAAAACGTAAAAACACGCTATCAAGCGCGGTCAAGAGCATGCCATGCCAGCAGGTGGCGATATAAACATTAACCGTAAAGCCACGTTGGCCAATCAGAAGCGCAAATCTGACGTCAAACACAGCGGGTAACGGCGCAAACTCTGACGTCGCAAGGCAAAAACCCCGGTTTCACTGTCTACACGACAACACTGTAACCGGCGTTTCTGAAAATCCTCACCCTGGCAGGGGTTCTCTTACGAGAGTATCTCTCGTACTGCGTAATAGCTTACGCTAGGGGAAAAACTCTTTTCCGCGAGATATTGAAGCCAAAAATTATCCTTAATTTTTTATTAATGTAAAACGCTTTGCAGCAGCAAGCAGACATAGGCGAAACAGCTCGCGCGCCTATTGGTTGCTCTGCAGCAAATGCAGCAGCCTATCGAGAGAGACTCTGCGTGACGTAATGACCAATGGGGGCAATTCGCGCCCATATCGTCACGTCCCGCCAGAAGGGGCGTGGTCTCACCCTATAAATATGCTCGTTAGGCTGATACAAGCTGATTTTTACCTCTTCAGCGAAGCACACGCATCGCTGGATCCGGAGTGAGAAGCCGCGCCGTCGAAGCAAGCCTTTCAGCGGGACGAGCTCTGGAGTCGCTGGCCTCGCCGCCTTCAACTGCCGTACCTGCTGCGCTTTCCGGCGTTCTATATCCTTTCATACTCTGTGTGTATTTACTCTGTTGAGAGTGTTTGCTCGCTTACTTGACGCGACTCACACTTCTCTCACAAAAAGAGCTGCGTCTTTTTAAAGATGCCTTCCTGTGGCTCGTGCCGCGCCCCGCTCAGCGATGGAGACCGGCACGTCATCTGTGTTTCCTGCCTGGGTGAGGATCACGCGGCTCTCGCGCTCGCCGACGGCGGATGCCCTCATTGCGAGCTTTTGCCCATGGTGACTCTGAGGACTCGCCTGGCATCATTCTCCGAGCCTTCACCGCAGCCCGCCGTGGTGCCGCGCCGCAAGAAGCGCCGCAAGAAGCGCCGCGCCCAGCGCGCTCCCGAGCTTTCTCCAGCCCGCCAAAGCTCGCCGGTTCGCCCGCCAGCTTCGCCGGCTTCGCTCGAGTCGCTCACTGACGGACAACGGCCGCCGCCTGCCGCCGCGTCCATCCACGAGTTTGACGAACCCACCGAGGCGTGTTCTCTTCTGGCATCCGATAGTGAGGATTGGGCGAGCTCCGTGGATCTCCCCTCCGCTAGCGTTTCCCGCCAGACCACTGGTAAGAGAGCCGGCATTGAGACTGAGCTGATGCGTCTGCTCTCTCAGGCCGTGGAAAGCATCGGCCTCGATTGGGAGGTGCCCGCGCAGCCGGCGCGCAACAGAATGGACGGACGCTTTCTCGGAAATGACGAGGCTCCGACGAAATCGCGGCCCGCGCCCTTCCTCCCGGAACTTCACGAGGAAGTGACTAAATCGTGGAACGCCCCCTTCTCCGCCAGGCTGCGTACCTCTGCCTCTGCTGCTTTCTCCTCGGTGGATGGCGCGAAGGACAGAGGATACCTTTCTGTTCCTCCTGTGGAACCAGCTGTAGCGTCTCATCTCTGCCCGCCCTCCGCTGGACGGCGCGCTCACACGACGCTACCTTCTAAAGCCTGCCGAGTGACGTCAACCATGCACGGTCGCGCTTACACCGCCGCCGGGCAAGCAGTTTCAGCGCTGCACACTATGGCTATCCTGCAGATCTACCAAGCCGACCTTCTCCTTAAATTGGACGAGGAAGGACCCGGAGCGATCTGCGTGGCGGACCTGAGAAGCGCTACAGACCTCGCTCTTCGCGCTACTAAAGCCGCTGCACAAGCCATAGGACGAAACATGGCCTCTCTCACAGTGGCTGAGAGACACTTATGGCTGACGCTGTCCGAGATGACGGAAGCCGAGCGCTCTGTGTTCCTCGACGCGCCCATTTCACAAGCGGGCCTTTTCGGATCTGCCGTCAAAGATTTCGCGGACAGATTCATGGAGGTGCAAAAGACTTCGCAGGCCATGAAGCACTTCCTTCCGAAGCGCTCGAGCTCCGCTGCAGGCCGCTCAAAACAGCCGTCTGCTCGCAGTTCTCAGCTGCAGCCTGCACCGCCTGCCGCCGCCGCTTCACAGCGCCGCCACGCCCGAGACCAAAGACCGCGCTCTCGCTCTGCTGGACGCCGCCCCCCTCAGCGCGGGCCCCGGCCGAGGATTGAGATCAAGCCCGAGGCCTCAAAATCTTCCTAGCCATTCTAGGAAAGCGACGGTGTTCAGATCCCGCTGCGGCCGGATTTCCACCAAAACTTCTCGCTCGGTCAGTTCCAAACATCGCGACTGTCCCAGTGTATTTCGCAGTGAGCCAGCCGGTGTCTCAGCCCGTTTGCCTGCGCACAAAAGCCGTTTTTACGGCTACCCAGATAAATCCAATAAAGAGTGCATTTTCTGGTGTTCCGGCCACGGCCGATGGTGTTATAAGTGTTGTAAGAATGCCCACCCAGTGCCCATTCACACACACAGACACAGCCCGCCACGGTGCAGGGCTAGCACAAATAAAATCGACTCCGGTCGATTGTGCAAACAATGTAGTAAACGCGCCCATGTCACCATGCCCGCTCACACTACATGCTGCGTGTCCCTTGGTTTCTGTAAAAACGAAACCAACACACATTCAGTCGGCCATGAACGACAGTGTTTTCAGTGTAATAAATGTGCCCGCAGCCCCGCGCCCACATTTTCTCACAGACACGCCGATTCCTACGGGATCTCCCCCGCTCGCTTTTTCTGCACAATCTGCCATAAAAAAGCTGAGCGCGGTCAGGCCGCCCGCTGTGATCAGCGCGCCCCCCGCCTCGAACGCTGTAAACACGGTGTTGTGTTCCCAGTATGCCCGGGCTCTCGAGCTGCCGTTTTGCCGCGACCAGAGCCCGGATTTCATTCTGCCCCTAGCTATTCACGCAGATGCGTGGTCAAAGCTTCCCGGGGTATCAGAATGGGTGCTGAACACTATAAAGAGAGGCTATTCGCTACAATTCGCTCGACGCCCGCGCCGTTATACGGCGCGTGTCGAAACTACGGTGAAAAACGAAGTGTCTCATCTACTTCGTGCCGAGATAGCGAAACTACTGAGCAAAGGGGCTATAGAACCTTTATCTCAGGCTCAGATCGAAGGGGGCCTATACAGCAGATATTTTCTGGTGCCGAAAAAGGATGGGGGTCTCAGACCCATTTTAGATCTACGACAGCTGAACAGAGTGCTTGTCAAACGCCAGTTTAGAATGCTTACGACCAGGAAAATCCTCGCGCAAGTGCGCCACGGGGACTGGTTTATGTCGATAGATCTGAAAGACGCCTATTTCCAAATACAAATAGCGTCCCATCACAGGCGATTCTTGAGATTCGCCTTCGAGGGCCAGGCATATCAATACACAGTCCTGCCGTTCGGCCTGTCCCTAGCACCTCGTACATTTACGAAGTGCATGGACGCGGCGCTCGCACCCCTGAGACTTCAGGGCATGCGAGTCCTGAACTACTTGGACGATTGGCTGATTCTAGCTCGATCACGATCGGAGCTCATAGAACACAGGGCCGCATTACTCGAGCACCTCGAGGAGCTGGGCATCACAGTCAATTGGGCGAAGAGCTCACTGTCTCCCAGTCAGAAAATTTCCTTTCTGGGAACCGTGTTGGACTCGCTGTCCATGACAGCACGCCTGTCACCAGAGCGCGTGCTAAATATTCAGCGCGGCGTGAAATCCTTCCGCCACGGCGCGATAGTTCCGCTCAAAAGGTTTCAGAAAATGCTGGGGCTGATGGCCTCAGCAGCCTCTGTACTCCAGTTGGGCTTGCTCCGCATGCGCCCACTGCAGATGTGGCTGAAAGCGCGGGTTCCACCCAGGGCATGGACAGCGGGTCTGTTTCGCCTCAGGGTCGACCTTCAGTGTGTTTCAGCTCTGGAACCTTGGAAAATAACCGACTGGTATCAGTCAGGTGTGAGTCTGGGGACCGCTTCGAGTGTGAAGGTGGTGTCTACGGACGCCTCCACCTCGGGCCGGGGAGCGCTGCTCGAGGGCAGACCGCTAGCTGGCCTGTGGTCAGAACGGGAAAAGCTCCTTCACATAAACTGCTTGGAGATGATAGCAGTCGACAAAGCGCTACGGCGTTTTTGTCCCCAGGTAACAGGCCACCACGTCTTGGTCCGGTCGGACAACATGTCAGTGGTGGCATACATAAATCGCCAGGGC